AAAGAAGAAAAATGAGCAATTGAAGGAAAACCAAACGAAAATTTTCGGAATAAACAATAAGAAATTCGTCAGAAGAAAAACCTTACAAAGGAAGAATGAATAAATGAAAAATGAAAAACTTTGAAAAAAGACGAGAATGGATATAAAGAAGAAATGAGAATGAAACACAGAAAACAAGAAAATTGACAGACAGAAAGAAGGAAATTGTTGAAAGATAAACACAGAAAATAAAGAAAGAAAACCAAAAGAAAGATTATGGAAATAATTAAAAATAGAAGAAAAAACATAGAAGAATAGAAGAAGAATAAAAAAAGAAAAAAACAATCACACAAACAAAAGAAAGAATGCAAAGAAGAAAAAAAAAAGACAAAATGAAAATAGCGGAAACAAACAAGAAGGCAATCAACGAACGAAAAAAAAGACACGAAAAAAGAAAAAATTAAAAGAAAATTAAAGTGAAAAGCCCAAAAAAGAAAAGAAAGAAAGTATAGAAGAAGAAAAATAAAGACGAGAAAAAGAGGGCGAAAAAATAAAATAAAAGATAGCGAAAAGAAAAATGATGAAAATTAATGAAATAAAAGCACAAGAAAAAAAAAAGGTAGAAAGAAAAAAAAAAACAGGAAAACTGTAAATATGCAAAGATGAAAATGCAAGCCAAATTTTTGAGGTTGTCAGAGCAGAGACTTCGCAATGAAATTAATGATGCGTCAAAGTTTTTGATCTTTTGTCTGGGAGAGGGTGGGCGGATAAGAAGCCATGAAATAAGTACCCGGGTAGACTAATAAATAAATAAATGCGTACCCATGGGAGACATGAACGGTCGATGGGCGGAAACAAACAGGATGGATGAATGAATGAATTGTAAGGTGAACTGCTATTTAGATTGAGGTGGTGAATTCCGGGCACGACGACGTAAATTGTTAGTTTGGTTGATAGGCAGAGAAAAGGGTGGCTCCCAAATAACCTGGTAGCTAGGCAGGCAAGTACTCATACAGAAATGACTGTTTTATTCCCTAATTTTGGTAGGTAATGAATTCTGTGTGGCAAATGCGACTGTTCAATTTCTGTAATAGTTTCATGGAACAATACAATATGTCGGCTGGTGAGTTTATCGGCGAGCGCCCAGAATATTACATACAGTAAATTAAAATCACAAACGCTAACATACACTGACTTATTTCATTAATCATGGGGTTCTTTTTATAGAAGTTCATTTCACGAGCATCTGCTATATTACTGAACCGTATAGAGTACTGCGCTGATATTTTGACGCTGCTTGAGAAAAAGAAAAATAAAAAGCAAGAGAAAACAAAAAGAAAGTATTACTTAAATGGTCAATTTAAAAACTGTAAAAATAAGAGATCCTTCATTCTGAAGACGCGGGAAAACTAAAACTTTCGTTCGGGATATGTGTGTAAAATAGTTGATAATTTTCTCGTATTTTTCTCGTATTTTTCTTAATTGTTATGTAAAACGAGACAAGAAAGTTTCTTCTTTATGTACCGTGCCCTCCCCGGGACGTAGGCGATCATGGCTCTCCACAATTTCCTTTCCTTTTTAGCACCTTATTATATTTTGTCTTTTTCTTATTTCTCCTAAACCTTGTTCCGACATCCATTTACTCAAGCTCATTTTTCTACTTCTATGTGCCGTGTCCCTTCAGGACTTAGTTAATCATGGCTCTCCACAATTTCCTTTCCTTTTTAGCACTTAATAAATTTCATCTTTTTGCTATTTCGCTTAAAGCCTGTTCCGCCATCCATTTATTAAGGCTCATTCTTCTTCTTCTATGTGTCGTGTCTCTTCAGGATGGAGGCGATCATGGCTCTCCACAACTTCCTCTGTAAATCCCAATAAATTTTATTTTTTATCTCTCCTAAAACTTGTCCCGCCATCCATTTACTGAAGCACACTCTTCTATGGGTCGTATCTATTTATAACGCAAGCGATCATGGCTCTCCACAACTTCCTCTCTTTTGTAGCTCTTTGTAAATTTTGCTTTTTTATCTCCCTTAATCCCTCTTCCGCCATCCATTTACTCAAGCTCATTCTTCTTCTTCTATGTGTCGTGTCTCTTCAGGATGGAGACGATCATGGCTCTCCACAACTTCCTGTCCTTTGTTACTCTTAATAAAATTTGTCTTGTGTTATCTCTCCTAAAACTTGTCCCGCCATCCATTTACTGAAGCACACTCTTCTATGGGTCGTATCTATTTATAACGCAAGCGATCATGGCTCTCCACAATTTCCTCTCTTCTGTAGCTCTTTGTAAATTTTGCTTTTTTGTTATATCCCTTAATCTCTCTTCCGCTATCCATTTACTCAAGATCATTTTTCTTCATCTATGTGCTGTTTTTTTTTAGAGGACGTTGGTGTTCATTGCTCTCCACAATTTCCTCTCCTTAGTAACTGTTAATAAATTTTGATTTTTTGTTATCTCTCCTAAACTCTTCCATTTACTCAAGGTCATCAAGTGTGTTATGTGCTATTTTCCTTTGTTTCTCTGCCCATCGATGTGTTTTACAAGGCTCCCGGTCATATCACCTTGAAACATTTGCTCTCGCAAGATCGCCAAAGTTAAACCTGGTCAGTACCTATATGGGTGACCGCTTGAGAATACCAGGTGCTGTAAGCTTAGATGTGTGTGGGTGTAATGGATGGATAACGGCAATGAAATGGATATAGGAGAACTGAGTTCAAATTCTTGTAGAGATTTTATATTCACTTGATTTTGTCAAGAAACTTGAAGTGAACAGCAAAAGCATCAGACCAGATTTGGCAACAGTATTTAATGCACAGACAAATGGTAGATTTGTAAATGCGCGAAATGAGCAAGAAAATCCTTCAGGCACGACAAAATGAACCAAATTTCCTTGCAGTAGATGCAGCTATTGATTCAATTTACTTGTTGTAAAAATTTTAGTTGCAAACGTGAAGCCAAGAAGACGCAGTGAGACGATCTCCTGGAGTCGAGCATCAGGTGTATATATTGATTAGGTCGGTTAATGATATTTTAGGAATAAAAAGAAAACAAAATGATAAAAATATTGGCAATAAAATTGATGATATTTATTATATATTTACCTTTTGACTAAATTCAACCACAAAGAGAAAGATTTTAAAGTCGGAATTTTCAGAAACGCCTGTATCCTTTTTAAACGAGACGTGGAATAAAAAAAAAAGAAATGGAACTTTCTCTTCCGAGAATTGTTGTCAGTTAGAGGGCTCCTCGTGGAAACTATATTGTTTATTCCTTGTAGCAGGCGTGGGAACTATATTGTTTATTCTTTGTAACTATCTGTAGTATATGTTGACGGATAAAGCGACAGAGAAAAAAAATCCGAAAATGCAACTACTATATAATATCTAATATTCCTATGTGACTGGTTGATGAATAGTTTTCCTTAGAGTCCCAGAAAATTAACATATATGAAATATATGGATGAAAATCGGGTAAAAATTAAATAAAAAAAAAAAGAAAGAAATAAAAAATTATTTTAAAAATAGAATGGCGTAACTACGTTTATTGATCTTTTCAATTTTTGAATTGTAAATTTCGTTTCCACTTAATTATTTTCACTCCAGCAAATATGCCCAATAGAGAATTTTGCACCATTTTAAACTATTATAAATTATTATAATTAAAATTTTTAAAAAATGAAAAAAGTTCTTGTAAAAATTCATTATTCATCGGAAAAAAAATTATTTCTTCAGACAATAGTGTTCTTAATATAACTTATTTACAAAAGCAATTAAAAGCTTTTCTAGTTAAATAATGACATTTATATTGGCAACTAAGATGTGAATGAGAGTCCGAACAATGGAAATATTGTAGTTTTATTGCATTCATTATTTTTCAATTCAGGGCAGATTTTCAGTTAGAATAGTGCAAGTTTGAAAAAAAAAAAAAAGATTAGGCAATTTATATCTTAACGAATTAAAAAGATTCAGGAAATAGAATTTTTTTTTGCGAAATTTCATGAAATTAACTGTATGTGTGTGTAAAAAAAAAATAAATTACCAAAATTTTCTAAAGAAAAAATTTCAAAAATAATAATTTCATTCATTTATGAATAAGTCCTGAAAATTTCATTAAAATCGAACAATTATTTGATTTTTTACAAGAATTTCCAAATCAATGTGTTTTCAACTGAAAAAAGCGCGAAAAAGTCAATGTTATTATTATACCACCGCGATGACGTAAACAAAACAAGATTTTAACTAAAATCTCGAAAGTTTTAGAAAGGATTAAAAAATTTCCAAAAAATAATTAAAAAATACTTTGATCTTTCATCTTAATAATAACATAAACATTTTGACGATAATACTTTATTTTTACTAAGTTTGTGGCCTTTTTCATTACGCTACGCTGTTTCCCCGCGAAAAAGTGGAGATACCTAACATAAATGATCCGATCATCTTTTGTGGTAGTTTGGTATGTACGGCTTTATCTAAGATTAAGAACGGATATAGAAAAAAAAACAGGCCCAGTCTAATGTTTAAACCTGTATATTTTACGTCCCTAGACTCTTACGATTACATTGTCAATAATTATTCCAGCTGACGTTGCTGCGTCTCTTTCTCTCTCTCTCTCTCTCTCTCTCTCTATATATATATATATATATATATATATATATATATATATATATATATATATATACACATATATGTATATATACTGGTATGTTTGATACGACATGGTAAGAATAGGCGGAGTTCCATTGCAAAATTGTCAAAATAAAATTCTTGTTACTTCAGAACTAGTCAGTTGTTTTTACTTTTTTTTTACTTTATTTTTTTTTTAGTTTATATTTAGTTTTGTTTTACTGGCTTATTAGCAAATGGCAGGTGGTCTCTTGGTTAAACTATTACCCACCCACTGCGTATTTCGGGGGCTGGCAATTTGAAGCTTCGGTAAAACAGGGGGAATATTGGTACGTAGCATTTCTCTGATTGTTGTTTTCTTTTGTGAATTGCCAAGCTCAGCGTGAAATGAGAAAATGCTAATATCATTGCTTGTCGTCCCACCTCAATCCTGGGCGTTGTTGTTTGTCATTGACGTTCCAATTCGTTCTTTCAACGCATTTTGCTTATATTGTTGATTATATTATTAAACAGTTTGTCTTATTTGTCTCTTCTTTTACGATGGCCACTCTTTTCTCTTTTCTTGCTTCACCCCTCCCGCAGATTTACGTTCTTATCTACGGCCCCACCCCTTAATCTATAGCTCCCTGTTCTTTATGATTAATAGAGCCGGTGTATACTACCCCCCGATCCCCCTACCGTGGTGGACAGGCCTGATTGGGGACAAAAAATTTCTTTATTTTTATATACGTTTATATAAGAATTATATTAATTAATAAGACTTGTATCACAAAACAATTATTATCTAAAAAATAAATAAATTCTTACAAACTAAAACATATTTCCTGGCTTTAAATAACCCGCAATAGGTTGATAAACCGTAAAATATTGAGGTAACTCATTCCTTCTCTTTTATAGTTCCTATCGAATTTTTTCTTCTGCAAATAACATTCTTTTCTTTGTCTTCCCTTAAAATGACACTTGAAACAAACACTTATCCATCATATTTATTTGTTATCATTTATAACTAATATTCACCCAGTACAAGGCTCCTGAGCCACTCATGGTAGGGGTTACTATATGAGGTGTGTGTTCGTAATAAAAGAGCTAGAAATGGGAAATGAATGTTATAAGGATTAGGAGGATAGAAAACGATTGACCTCTGGTTGGGAGAAATTAAGATTGTAGTGTTTAGGAAGCATCCTCGCAGGAGCATGTTACATCGAATTCTGTGCGTCGAGAAAAAAAGCTAAGTTGAATTTGAAAAAATTATAATATAAAATATTTGGTGCAAACCATTTCTATTTTATTCAACTGGAAAATAAGAGTAATGTTCATTTAGAATCTTCATTCGTTTTCCATCTTCTACCTTCAGAATTATCTAAACTGTCAGCTTCATATGAACACTTTCCCCAGATCCATGGTTAAAAATGTCTTCGAGCTAAATGTGGTCTTACAGAAAGATACTGGGAATAACATGGACCGAGCATGTAACCAATGAGGAAGACTTGAGGAAATGGAAAGAAGAATACTTGCACTAAGAATCAGAAAAAGACAGCTGCAATTTCATGGACATAAAATGAGAAAGGAGGGCTTGGAAAATCTGACACTCACAGGGCAGATTGAGAAAAAGAGAGACAGGGGAAGGCAGCCGACCATCTATCTGACATGCTTGTGAGACAGGATAGTAGCAAGGACAAGTTTTCCTAATGGCTACAGTGGAAAAGAACCAGCTGTAATCGCCCGAGTCTTGAAGGGACACGTTACATAGACGAAGAAACCCCTAAAGGATTTCCCCTCATCGACATCCCTACATCACCTAGATTCCATCTCTGTTAGTCGGTTCACGTTCATTTTTATACCAACAGATCCCCACGGAGCAGGTTGGCTTTCATTGTTTTTAAAAGTTTCTTATTCCTATACAAACTTGTATCCAGCCTTATCTTCTCGCCTCATCGGTAACTACGCATGAAGCGTGTAATAGCTGAGCATTTGGTCGGCATGGGAGATGCCCACCCAACACAAGATGAGAGGCCCAAAATATTTTCAAAAGCTAATTTATTAACCTAGTCCACAAATTAGTTTGTGTAACTAATGTCTACATATAACCCTTGCAAAGGGTGTGTGTACAACTATGAGTAAGAATTTATTTCTTCCTGTCTCAGATATGTTGTATTCTGAACGAACGAGAGGGTGCGAGGTAGGATTTAGAAGGATCGCCCATGTGAATGATATGAACACATATTCCCAGCTTCGTCCTAACGCCAGGCATCATAGTAAAACTGTCTCGTCGCTGGTAGGCCAAGATGTTTGACAGAAAAAAAGAGAGATATCATTTCGGGAAAACATTTGGGAAATGGTCTGACAATTATTCGCAAGAAATTTCGTAGGAAATATGCCTTCTCCAACAGGAATCGAACCTGTGTCTTATACGGAACTCCTAATTGATCTGACGTGCTACACCACGAAGATCAATTGTCGAAGATCTGTTGTTTATAAACAGTAATTTAGATTTTTCTTAGCAGACGCTTTCTCTGTAGCTGAGTAGTATAGCACGTCAGATTAAGTGACGATTCCTGTCGGAAAACGCATATTTTCTATTAAATTCTCGAACACTCAGGCCGATAAATATAATTAATACTGTTTATTTAACAGAGCGTTTATTTAAATAAATTGTCTCTATAAAAATAACTTATAAAAAATATATGAAATAATTGTAGGACTTAATCTATATTGTCATTGTTTACGTTAAGATACGTTTCATGTGTAGATAGGATTGATCGAGATAAATCGTCGATGATTATCTGTTTATAAATACTAATTCGGACGCTTCTCTATAACTGAATGGTACAGCACGTCAAGCCAAACGACAGTTTCCGTATAGGAATGCAGGTTCAAATCCTGTTGGAGAATGCATATTTTCTACGAAATTTCTACACTAAAACAAAGAAAACCACACTCTACAAAATTACATTTCAAACTAATCACAACATATTAAATTATCGTCAAATAATTTTTAATGTAAACTTTTATTTTTTTCATCCATATTAGAACATTCGAAATTTTGGTTAATCACACTTGTGGCATAAATTAATTTTGGAAATTTTAGACTTGCAAAAATCAGATAATTGTCAGAATTTAATGCCATTTTCAGAACATTCACAAATAAATTATTTTTTGATTGTTTCATTTTTTAGGTAATCTTTGTAAAACTATTTCGTTTTGCTTCTTTTTTGTTACTAAAGATATACGGTTTTGGCTGCTTTCGCTACTGGTTGGACATTGTGCTTAAGTGAGTGGCTTTGTATTTAGACAGCATCCTCTCTCTCTCTTTCTTGCTCGCTCTCTCCCTCTCTCTCTCTCTCCCTCCCTCCCTCCCTCCTCTCGCTCCCTCCCTCCCTCTCTCTCTCTCTCTCTCTCTCTCTCTCTCTCTCTCTCTGCCTATATATCTATCTACTCGTCTCATAAAGAATTTATTTTTTAAAATTCTCTCCCGCCTTTTCCCCATTCTCATAATGTTACTTACGGTTTCTTTCTTTTTTTCTTTCTTTCTTTCTTTCTTTCTTTTTTTCTTTCTTTCTTTCTTTCTTTCTTTCTATGTACTGTCTTCGAATTCGCATTTCTTGCCTTATTCCTGCTTTTAATCGTTTTATTCTTTTCTTTCATTGTCTTTTCTATTCATTTTATCTTCATTTTTTTTTCTTTCCTTTTTTTTCTTTCTTTCTTTCTTTCTTTCTTTCTTTCTTTCTTTCTCTTTCTTTCTTTCTTTCTTTCTTTCCATCCTTCTTTGCTTCCTTCCTTCTATGTACTGTCTTCAATTCGCATTTCTTGCCTTATTCCAGCTTTTAATCGTTTTATTCTTTTCTTTCATTGTCTTTTCTATTCATTTTATCTTCATTTTTATTTTCTTTTCCTTGTTTTCCTTTCTTTTTTTTCTTTCTTTTTTTTTCTTTCTTTTTCTTCTTTTTTTTCTCTCTCTTTCTTTCTTTCTTTCTTTCCATCCTTCTTTGCTTCCTTCCTTCTATGTACTGTCTTCAATTCGCATTTCTTGCCTTATTCCTGCTTTTAATCGTTTTATTCTTTTTCTTTTCATTGTCTTTTCTATTCATTTTATCTTCATTTTTATTTTCTTTCCTTGTTTTCCTTTCTTTCTTTCTTTCTTTCTTTCTTCTTTCTTTCTCTCTCTTTCTTTCTTTCTTTCTTTCCATCCTTCTTTTGCTTCCTTCCTTCTATGTACTGTCTTCAAATTCGCATTTCTTGCCTTATTCCTGCTTTTTAATCGTTTTATTCTTTTCTTTCATTGTCTTTTCTATTCATTTTATCTTCATTTTTATTTTCTTTCCTTTTTTTCCTTTCTTTCTTTCTTTCTTTCTTCTTTCTTTCTCTCTCTTTCTTTCTTTCTTTCTTTCTTTCCATCCTTCTTTGCTTCCTTCCTTCTATGTACTGTCTTCGAATTCGCATTTCTTGCCTTATTCCTGCTTTTAATCGTTTTATTCTTTTCTTTCTTTGTCATTTCTATTCATTTTATCTTCATTTTATTTTCTTTCCTTTTTTCTTCCTTTCTTTCTTTCTTCTTTCTTTCTTTCTTTTTTTCTTTCTTTCTTTCTTTCTTTCATTCTTTGCTTCCTTCCTTCTATGTACTGTCTTCGAATTCGCATTTCTTGCCTTATTCCTGCTTTTAATCGTTTTATTCTTTTCTTTCATTGTCTTTTCTATTCATTTTATCTTCATTTTTATTTTCTTTCCTTTTTTTCCTTTCTTTCTTTCTTTCTTTCTTTCTTCTTTCTTTCTCTCTCTTTCTTTCTTTCTTTCTTTCCATCCTTCTTTGCTTCCTTCCTTCTATGTACTGTCTTCGAATTCGCATTTCTTGCCTTATTCCTGCTTTTAATCGTTTTATTCTTTTCTTTCTTTGTCATTTCTATTCATTTTATCTTCATTTTATTTTCTTTCCTTTTTTCTTCCTTTCTTTCTTTCTTCTTTCTTTCTTTCTTTTTTCTTTCTTTCTTTCTTCTTTCTTTCTTTCTTTCTTTCATTTTTTGCTTCCTTCCTTCTATGTACTGTCTTCGAATTCGCATTTCTTGCCTTATTCCTGCTTTTAATCGTTTTATTCTTTTCTTTCATTGTCTTTTCTATTCATTTTAGCTTCATTTTTATTTTCTTTTCTTTTTTTTCTTTTCTTTTCTTTCTTTTCTTTCTTTCTTCTTTTTTTCTCTCTCTTTCTTTCTTTCTTTCTTTCCATCCTTCTTTGCTTCCTTCCTTCTATGTACTGTCTTCGAATTCGCATTTCTTGCCTTATTCCTGCTTTTAATCGTTTTATTCTTTTCTTTCATTGTCTTTTCTATTCATTTTATCTTCATTTTTATTTTCTTTCCTTTTTTTCCTTTCTTTCTTTCTTCTTTCTTTCTCTCTCTTTCTTTCTTTCTTTCTTTCTTTCCATCCTTCTTTGCTTCCTTCCTTCTATGTACTGTCTTCGAATTCGCATTTCTTGCCTTATTCCTGCTTTTAATCGTTTTATTCTTTTCTTTCTTTGTCATTTCTATTCATTTTATCTTCATTTTATTTTCTTTCCTTTTTTCTTCCTTTCTTTCTTTCTTCTTTCTTTCTTTCTTTTTTCTTTCTTTCTTTCTTTCTTTCTTTCTTTCTTTGCTTCGATGTACTGTCTTCGAATTCGCATTTCTTGCCTTATTCCTGCTTTTAATCGTTTTATTCTTTTCTTTCATTGTCTTTTCTATTCATTTTATCTTCATTTTTATTTTCTTTCCTTTTTTTCCTTTCTTTCTTTCTTTCTTTCTTTCTTTCTTCTTTCTTTCTCTCTCTTTCTTTCTTTCTTTCTTTCCATCCTTCTTTGCTTCCTTCCTTCTATGTACTGTCTTCGAATTCGCATTTCTTGCCTTATTCCTGCTTTTAATCGTTTTATTCTTTTCTTTCATTGTCTTTTCTATTCATTTTATCTTCATTTTATTTTCTTTCCTTTTTTCCTTTCTTTCTTTTCTTTCTTTCTTTCTTTCTTTCTTTCTCTCTTTTCTTTCTTTCTTTCTTTCCATCCTTCTTTTGCTTCCTTCCTTCTATGTACTGTCTTCGAATTCGCATTTCTTGCCTTATTCCTGCTTTTAATCGTTTTATTCTTTTCTTTCTTTGTCATTTCTATTCATTTTATCTTCATTTTATTTTCTTTCCTTTTTTCTTCCTTTCTTTCTTTCTTCTTTTCTTTCTTTCTTTCTTTTCTTTCTTTCTTTCTTCTTTCTTTCTTTCTTTTTCATTTTTGCTTCCTTCCTTCTTGTACTGTCTTCAATTCGCATTTCTTGCCTTATTCCTTTTTAATCGTTTTATTCTTTTCTTTCATTTTCTTTTCTATTCATTTTTAGCTCATTTTTATTTTCTTTCCTTTTTTTCCTTTCTTTCTTTTTCTTTCTTTCTTCTTTCTTTCTCTCTCTTTCTTTTCTTTCTTTCCATCCTTCTTTGCTTCCTTCCTTCTATGTACTGTCTTCAATTCGCATTTCTTGCCTTATTCCTATTTTAATCGTTTTATTCTTTTCTTTCATTTCTTTTCTATTCATTTTATCTTCATTTTTATTTTCTTTCCTTTTTTTCCTTTCTTTCTTTCTTTTCTTCTTTTTCTTTCTCTCTCTTTCTTTCTTTCTTTCTTTCTTTCATCCTTCTTTGCTTTCTTCCTTCTATGTACTGTCTTCAATTCGCATTTCTTGCCTTATTCCTGCTTTTAATCGTTTTATTCTTTTCTTTCTTTGTCATTTCTATTCATTTTATCTTCATTTTATTTTTCTTTCCTTTTTCTTCCTTTCTCTCTTTCTTCTTTCTTTCTTTCTTTCTTTTCTTTCTTTCTTTTCTTTCTTTCTTTTCTTTCTTTCATTCTTTGCTTCGATGTACTGTCTTCAATTCGCATTTCTTGCCATTCCTTTTTAATCGTTTTTTTCTTTTCTTTTCATTTCTTTTCTATTCATTTTATCTTCATTTTTTATTTTCTTTCCTTTTTCCTTTCTTTCTTTCTTTCTTTTTTCTTCTTTCTTTCTCTCTTTTCTTTCTTTCTTTCTTTCCATCCTTCTTTGCTTCCTTCCTTCTATTGTCTTCAATTTTTCTTGCCTTATTCTTTTTAATCGTTTTTTCTTTTCTTTCATTGTCTTTTCTATTCATTTTTATCTTCATTTTTTTTTTTTCCTTTTTTTTTTCCTTTCTTTCTTTCTTTCTTTTTTCTTTTTCTTTCTCTCTCTTTCTTTCTTTCTTTCTTTCCATCCTTCTTTGCTTCCTTCCTTCTATGTACTGTCTTCAATTCGCATTTCTTGCCTTATTCCTGCTTTTAATCGTTTTATTCTTTTCTTTCTTTGTCATTTCTATTCATTTTATCTTCATTTTATTTTCTTTCTTTTTTTTCTTTCTTTCTTTCTTTCTTTCTTTCACTTTCTTCTTTCTTTCTCTCTCTTTCTTTCTTTCTTTCCATCCTTCTTTGCTTCCTTCCTTCTATGTACTGTCTTCGAATTCGCATTTCTTGCCTTATTCCTGCTTTTTAATCGTTTTATTCTTTTCTTTCATTGTCTTTTCTATTCATTTTATCTTCATTTTATTTTTCTTTCCTTTTTTCCTTTCTTTCTTTCTTTCTTTCTTTCTTCTTTCTTTCTCTCTCTTTCTTTCTTTTTTTCTTTCCATCCTTCTTTGCTTCCTTCCTTCTATGTACTGTCTTCGAATTCGCATTTCTTGCCTTATTCCTGCTTTTAATCGTTTTATTCTTTTCTTTCTTTGTCATTTCTATTCATTTTATCTTCATTTTATTTTCTTTCCTTTTTTCTTCCTTTCTTTCTTCTTTGTTTCTTTCTTTTTTCTTTCTTTCTTTTTTCTTTCTTTCCTTCTTTCATTCTTTGCTTCCTTCCTTCTATGTACTGTCTTCGAATTCGCATTTCTTGCCTTATTCCTGCTTTTAATCGTTTTATTCTTTTCTTTCATTGTCTTTTCTATTCATTTTATCTTCATTTTTATTTTCTTTCCTTTTTTTCCTTTCTTTCTTTCTTTCTTTCTTTCTTTCTTTCTTCTTTCTTTCTCTCTCTTTCTTTCTTTCTTTCTTTCCATCCTTCTTTGCTTCCTTCCTTCTATGTACTGTCTTCGAATTCGCATTTCTTGCCTTATTCCTGCTTTTAATCGTTTTATTCTTTTCTTTCTTTGTCATTTCTATTCATTTTATTTTCTTTCCTTTTTTCTTCCTTTCTTTCTTTCTTCTTTCTTTCTTTCTTTTTTCTTTCTTTCTTTCTTTCTTTCTTTCTTTCTTTCTTTCATTCTTTGCTTCCTTCCTTCTATGTACTGTCTTCGAATTCGCATTTCTTGCCTTATTCCTGCTTTTAATCGTTTTATTCTTTTCTTTCATTGTCTTTTCTATTCATTTTATCTTCATTTTTATTTTCTTTCCTTTTTTTCCTTTCTTTCTTTCTCTCTTTCTTTCTTCTTTCTTTCTCTTTCTTTTCTTTCTTTTCTTTCCATCCTTTTTTGCTTCCTTCCTTCTATGTACTGTCTTCAATTCGCATTTCTTGCCTTATTCCTGCTTTTAATCGTTTTATTCTTTTCTTTTCTTTGTCATTTCTATTCATTTTATCTTCATTTTATTTTCTTTTCCTTTTTTCTTCCTTTCTTTCTTTCTTCTTTCTTTTTCTTTTCTTTCTTTCTTTCTTTCTTTCTTTCTTTCATTCTTTGGTTCCTTCCTTCTATGTACTGTCTTCGAATTCGCATTTCTTGCCTTATTCCTGCTTTTAATCGTTTTATTCTTTTCTTTCTTTGTCATTTCTATTCATTTTATCTTCATTTTATTTTCTTTCCTTTTTCTTCCTTTTCTTTCTTTCTTCTTCTTTCTTTCTTTTTTTTTTTCTTTCTTTCTTTCTTTCTTTCTTTCATTCTTTGCTTCCTTCCTTCTATGTACTGTCTTCGAATTCGCATTTCTTGCCTTATTCCTGCTTTTTATCGTTTTATTCTTTTCTTTCTTTCTGTCCTTTTTTCTTTTTATCTTTGAATATTCCCTAATTCCCCCCTTATTTCTTCCTTTCTTTCTACTTTCTATTTTTTTATCTTCTTTCTTTGTATTTTCTTTCTTTCTTTCTTTCTTTCTTTCTTTCTTTCTTTCTTTCATTCTTTCAGTTCACTTTTCTCGCCTTTTGCTGCCTCTCAAATCTTTCTTTCCTTCTTTCTTTCTTTCTTTCTTTCTTTCTTTCTTTCTTTCCTTCTTTGCTTCCTTCCTGCCTTCTATGTACTGTCTGAATTTTCTCTATTTCTTCCTTCGTTTTCTTGATAGTTTCTATTCCGTTTTATTTTCTTTCTTCCTTTTTAATTTCTTTGTACTTTCTTTCTTTTTTCTTTCTTTCTTTATTTCTTCCTTTCACTCTTTCTTGCAGTTCAGTTTTTCATCGTTCCCGCTTCTCAAATCCTTCTTTTATGCTTTCCTACTTTCTGTTTGTGAATTTTATCTCTTTTTCTCTCCCTTTCTTTGTAGTTTCTATTTGTTTTTATCTTCTTTCTTTTTACTTTCTTAATTTTTTTCCTTATTCCTTCTATTTGTTTTTTTTTTGTTCCACTTTCCCCCTTTTCAGTTATTTTCTCAAATCATCTTGTGTCAATAAGCCAGGTACTCGAGATTTCATTGTTTCTAACTATTGTCGCTCTTTTGAAATGGTCAAGTTGAAGATAAACTTTGGAGAAGGCCATTGAATCCATCTTGTCTCGGGGTGAAGTCAGGGCGTATGAGTGAGAACGCACAAGTGAATAGGCTATGGTCAGTGTCAACATGGCCTCTTCACTATTGTCCTTAAAGCCTTTCATCAGTTCTACTCAGGCCAAACAATAGCCGAATCAGGGACCACTTTCAGCTGACCCTGATGACCATAATTTCAGAAGCCGAAGAGAGAGCTGGTCAAGTAAGGGAAAATTAGAAATAGCCTAGGAATATTTTGGTATTTGCCAAGTTTGCGTTTGTGTACGTATTTGTGAGCCACAAAAGAATGAAAATAGTCGGAAGGCAATGAACTGGAGAAAAACAAGCTTTTCTTGTCTTTTAGAAAATTCTCGCAAAAAGAGCAAGAGAGAGAGAGAGAGAGAGAGAGAGAGAGAGAGAGAGAGAGTATGTGTGTGTATATGAGTGTGCGGCGGGCAGATTACAAGAAAGGCTGAGACAAAAACAAAAGAAAAGAAAAAATGAACGAAAGAGAAATGAGAAATTGCATTTTTAGCGATGGTCTAAAGTATAACTTCTCGGGTAAAATTCAAGCCAAATTTCTTCTTGACAGAATAAAAATAGTTAACGTATTTTCCAGTTTATAAGACGCACTTTTTCGTAAAAAAATACCCAGAAATATACGTGTGCGTTTTCCAAGACAAAAGTAAGGCAACGCTCAGGGTCAAATATTTTTGGACGGTTACCTAATTAGCTTGACTGATAGGGACGTGGATTTATTTGTATGTTGAGTCATTACACTATAATATTAGCTATTTATATAATTCAGCACTTTATATGATGTAATGTCAGTATTCCAAGACCATAAACCTTCCTGAAGTCGAGCCACAAGCTTAAACATGCTCTGTTTAGTAGTCTGCTTTTGTCTAGTATAACATTACCATTTAAACAAAATTGGACGAGTGATTAATGTAAACAATACGTAGCGCCAGTATGTGAGAGACGCATACTGAATGTATTTTTGTATAAGAATGACTATTTTTTTTAGAAATTTCTTTCCATTATTAGGGTGCGTCTTCGAAGCCGGAAAGTACGGTAATTAATATTGCCTTTTTGTGTATGTAATTTACTTCGTTTATACTCTCTCTTTCTCTCTCTCTCTCTTGCATACTGTCTCACTATCCCTCTCTTTCTCTCTATTTTTCAACACACACACACACACACACACACACACACACATATATATATATATATATATATATACAACGCGGGAACAATCTTCGGTTCTTTCAAGCATGAAGATTGCGTTTGAAAATGTACAGACGGTCATCGCTTCATGTTGGCCTCAGTGTCCACTTTTTTTATTCTCATACTCTCTATCTTTATGTATTGGCAGAATGTTTTCATTAAGACATATCTCATTAAATAATTTAGACAAGTTTTGTTTACTTATTTTTAATAGGGTCCTCTCGTAATTACGGACAATTTTCTTAGTATCCTTATTAAAGGCGGAATAAAATTACAGTGTTGATGCATATTAATTTTATTCCGAGTACTTCAAAAAAGGAAAAAGAAAATATAGTATATAGGTTGGCCATACCACTACTACGTCGTCTCAAAGGCTGAGATTTCATTTGAATGATGCATCTAACATTTCAGAACATTTGCAACATCATACCTGTCCACATTCGCAATTTCGTAAAATTCTTGTGGAAAATACATCAATATTTTTCATGAAAATAATAAACATAATCTCAAAATTTTTGAAGTTATCTATGTTAAAACTTGAAACAATACTTAATTAAATTAATTAGGAATTATGTCCAAATGCTTTAAAATATTTACAGCCAACAGTTTAAACA